GTTTTAGAATTCGAACTCTTAAAACCATTGAGATTACATTCAGTGCCTGCCTCCCGAATAATGGATGGTAACGAGATGGGGGTAGGTAGGGGCTGAGCCTTGAGGGTGGCCATCGTGAACCCTATTTGTCGAAAAGGTGGAATGGGACTAGGATTAAAATATCCTGACTTATAGTCTAATTTAATTAAAATATTTTTATATTATTTTTTATTTATAAATTTAATTAGAGATGGGTCCAAATGGCGACTTCTCCACGACATATAAACAAGTAAAAATCTCAATAATAAATGCGACTTTAGGTTAGAAAAATTCGACTGTGGGAAAGGCAAATCCCCACGTGTATTCACATGGTTCCTGCTTAAACCATCCTCTGCAACTTCCCTCCGACTGTATCTCCGAAGCCACCCCACCCTACGCGACCCATCTAATGCACAAACTGTTACAGATATTTACAGTATGTATATATTCATGTGGGTCAATTATTAATCACTATAATCATTCCAGTAAGAAATTTGTTGATGGCAATTCAGAGCACTCTCACTCTTATTCCTTCTTCTCTTTCTTCTGCAAAATCCACTCTCTTTCATCGCATTCCCAGTAAGGTTAGGCCCTCTCGAACTGTTCTCTTTCAAAATGGCGGGGTATCATCTATCCCCGTTGGTGAGGACTTGCCACACGATTATGATAACTGGTTACCTAAACGGGACCACAAGAGTCGCAGAAGGGCTGGAATTCTCCTCCATCCTACGTCGTTTCCTGGACCCTACGGCATCGGTGACCTGGGATCTCAGTCCTTCCAATTCCTTGATTGGCTTAACGAAGCCGGCTGCTCTCTATGGCAGGTAATTATGTTCATTTTCCTTTTGTATCTATTTTTCATTTTTTGAGTTAGGAATTGAATTGTTTAGGTTGTTCAAATTCGAAATTATCGAAGAAAATGAAGCTTTTAGCTGATTTGATATAATTCTGGTGTAAAAAGTATAACCGATTCACAATTTTCGCGCCTTTTGCTTATTCTTTCTAATAATTAGAGCCGTTTGATTGTGTATACATCTGAGTTGGCCATTTATGTAAGCCATCCTGAACTCACACCACCATTTCTAAATGTCTTGAGCTTTTGAATTCCACAGGGCTGCAAAGTATCAAGTTTGATTTATTTATTTATTTTTGTACGGCTCATGCATCAAACCAACTCCACATTTTTTTGTGCGGGTTCATTCATTAAAATTTTTGAAGAAAAACTAGCTATTCACTAGTCACTTTTGTATATTTTATAAGCCTAGAAAGATTAAAGTGGACCCAGAGTGGATATTTCATAGTTTTATAAGAGATGAAAATATTCCTTTTTAGGAATACGGACTATTTTTTTGTAGGAGCTCATGATATATGGAGGAATGTATCTTTTTGGGTAGGGGAAGTACTTTTTTAATTTTTCCTCCCATTTCATGTCATATAACAGTTAACACATCCACAAGTGCATTCTCTCATAGACATCTTGTTTTACTTATTTTTTTTCGCAATTACTTCAAAGAGTGTTTCCTTTATTTTGACCTATGTATAAATTGAATTAGTACTTATACAGGTTCTTCCTCTTGTTCCACCTGGAAGAAGAGCTAATGAAGAGGGATCCCCTTATTCTGGACAGGTGATATTATTCTTCACAGTACATTTTTCTTCTGTCTGTATACATTTTATTAGAAACTTATATTCCACCACTGTAAGTATGAATAAGTAAATATATGTATGGAGGAAAAAAAATAAAATTTTATGATATAATGATAAGCTGCCAAGGGATTTAGAGGCTAGTCTTCCTAAGAATGCAATTACCCATCCGTAATTTTAGCATTTAGCTTATTAATGAAATTAACTATGGTTTACTTTCAGGATGCAAATTGTGGTAATACTCTTTTGATTTCTCTTGAGGAACTAGTAGAAGATGGCCTGTTGTTGAAGGAAGAGCTTCCAAAACCGTTGTGAGATTTTGTCTGTGATTGGCTGCAGTCTAACCATTTGGATTGTTTCTCTGTTCTTATGTTTGCCCCATAATCTCTGTGTCTTCCTTGCAGAGATATGGATCGTGTGAATTTCTCTACTGTTGCTGAGATTAAGGATCCTTTGATAGCTAAGGTAAAGTACAGCTAAATCCTTGTAATTACTACATCTTGTACTTCCACATTTATATGAGTTAGAAAGTTAATTTGGAATGAATGCAGGCCTAAAAATACGACATTAACAGTCATTGTTTTCATGATAGTTAAATATCCTAATTGAAAAAGAAAGTAACTACACAAACTTGATACTCTCGAATCTGAATTGATAACACTCAAAAGCTTATGCTATCGAATTACTCTTGTACTTACTTTTTAGTTAAGTAATTTAAGTAAATTCTATTTAGAGACCAGGATTAGTACAAAATAAGACTATTGAATTGAGTTACACATGAACATAAACTATCTTAGATTCTTAGTTATATTTGTGCGTGCATGTATGTAAATATCAATGAAGTGCAGGCTTATGCACGCATAAGTACAGAGTATTGATGATTGTACAGTTATTCAATGTCATCCGAAGATACTTCTATGTGTCCTTAACAAACGATAAATGGATTCTGCACTGATTTAAAAAATAATCAATTATTGCATCCTGTTGCAGTTTATCATTACTAGAAAGATCATTGTTATGTTGAGAATTTATTACACAAAGCCTACTATATTTGACATAGGATGCAACAACAAAGAATGAGACTTGTAGAGGAAGGAGGAAAGGCCAAGAGAAGAAATTGGGGGGAGAAAAGTGTTTATTCAACTCATCAAAAGTCTAACTATTATAATGCATAAACCCTCTTTATATAGGGTTTAAACTAATCTAATTTTAAGTAGGAAAAAATTAATAAAATACTAGAAAATCTATAAAATAAAACCCTAATTACTTTTCGTAAGTATCCAAATTGGATAGTCTTCCGTACAATCTCTGTAATAGTATCTCTATAAATATTTCTTTCTAATTTCCTTTTCACTTGTAAACTCTTTATCATGAAACCTTATTAAACTTATTACTTGAACTTTGCCTTGTTTCTTTGTTGTTGTTTTCCAGAATTCAGTCCCTAAATCTTTTATTAATGCTATGATGGCTGCACAACAATGACTAGTCTGTTTGAAAGACGTGCAATCTCAATGAATTTTCTCTTAGTTTGTCCTTCATAATGATCACACCATTGTGTTTGTTGTCATATACAACTGTCTCTATTTTGTCTGGGTTCTGAAATTTGAGTTGTAAGATCATTATTACAAACTCCTGGTGTTCTATATTGTATTAGGCTGCAAAAAGGCTGATTAGTGATGGGGGACTGAAGGATCAGCTTGAACAGTTCCGCAAGGATCCAACTATTGCAGGTTCCAACCTTGTAATTATTTTCCTGTCTATTGAAAATTTCAACTGAATAAGAACATTTTAGAAATAATTTTTTTTTGTAAATGGAGCAAAATTTCAGGTTTCTAATTAATTGTGTTGCTGCTAGTACTGTATTAGTTACTGACCTCTATAGCCATTTCATTTAAAAAATAGAACGCTCCTTTCTTGAATTGGTGCACCGCATCTCGTGAATTTTTTTTGCTCACATTGATGTTGTGCCAAACAAGAATGTAATATATTGTTTCGTTTGGTGGAGACTTGTAGTTACATTATGGCATAAATGCACTAGTGATTCAGGCATAGATGAAAATACTTCCAAACAGAGACTTATTTTATTTAGCTTAGGGCTCAGTTAACTTACTTCCTATAAAAACTTATTTGGTTTGTCTTTGGAGGTAATTAACTTAGCCTGGAATTTGTTGTATTTATATTGCCTATTTTAATTGCTGCTAGAGGCTTGTACTAGGTAAGGCACTAGGCATAGTGTGGTATAATTAGATGGAGTTGCTTCACATGATGGCTGCCTGGCTTTGACTTCAGGATGTGTGTGTTATTATTATTTTTTTTCCTAGTCCGGCTCCATTTTCCTACTTATCATATTATGTTTGGAAGATTCTGCCATCTTACTCTTGCATAATATTGTTCTAAAGTATATCATTTTTCTATACAGCCGTAGGCATATTATGGCCATTGACATGGGAATTAAACCTTGTTTATAACAACTTTTTGTTGTATATGAGTTTGTTCTTAAATTGAGCTCATCTGATTTTATTAAATGCTATACATACGCAGGTTGGCTTGAAGATGCAGCATATTTTGCTGCCATTGATGACTCTTTAAATACATTTACTTGGTATGACTGGCCTGAACCATTGAAAAATCGCCATCTTGTTGCTTTGGAAGAAATTTATCAAAGCAAAAAGGAGTTTGTAAGATCTGACTGACCTTTTTGACTGTATATAGACAAGCATTTCTTCATGCTGTCAAACGTTGATGCTGAATGACCCTGTGACTAGAAAATCATTCTTCTCTTGCACAGATAGACATATTCATTGCTCAACAATTTTTGTTTCAAAGGCAATGGCAAAAAGTTCGTGAATATGCTCAGATGAAGGGCATCAGTATTATGGGAGACATGCCTATATATGTTGGTTATCATAGTGCAGATGTTTGGGCTAACAAGAAACACTTTTTGCTGGTGAGCTTTCTCTTTATGGAACTCGAGTGTTTCATTTGTAATATTGTGCTTCAGACTAATCATTCATGGGTCAAGCAGAGTAGGAGCGGCTTTCCACTACTAGTTAGTGGTGTTCCCCCTGATGCCTTTAGCAAAACTGGTCAGCTTTGGGACAGGTATACCCTATTCTGTAGATTGAGTACTTTTACTTCTGCATCTACTCAATATTCTATTTATGTACAACAAAGTGTCTTTTTCCCATCATGTTGCTTTTAGAAATGGAAATATAATGCACCATATTATTATTGAAACTTGTGTGGAACATTAAATATTAAAAGAAAGAAAGATATATGAGAAGATGCAGTTGATGAGATTCTCCATCCCGCAGGCACTTCTGGGTGTCTCAAAGCAGTTACATTTAATTGTTTTATGTATTTGAATTTATGTTTAGTTTTTTCCTGGCCAGTATATCTCCTCTCAACTTTTCCACATTTAGCTTCAAGCATTACCACTGCATAGTACCAGCTGATCTTTCTTTTGATAAGTTGTAGTTCAAGAAAGAATACAAGCAGTATACCTCGATTTAACATTTTGAGCCTTTATCCTTTTCAGGTTGATGTTGAACGTGGTTCACATGTTGAAGAAAAATAAAAAAGAATACAGTTTCTTGATAAAATAATTCAGAAATAGCAACCTCCCCGAGATCCTTCTATAACATTCCAATCCCAAAATTAGCCTACCTAATAAAACGACAGTCTTCCCAAGCTAAATGAACAATGATCTAGTTCATGGATGCTGAAAATATCGAAAGAAAAGAGGAATGCACGTGCATATTGTCCTTGTTATATACTATACAATATGAATTTTGCTGTAAACCAATGTGTTCCAAGTTAATAAGTGGCTATCTAATAAGAGGATATGTTTCTTTTTCTTTATTCTAGAGTGCTTCTTTGTTCCCAATTACTATTGCTATTATTTGGGGGGTGGGTAGTTCTACATTCCTCCTTGTGTTATCGCTATGAGACTTGAGTATAGTTAAAGTATGTTCCATTTATCTTCATGCTCGTTAAATGTTGTGGAAGTGAACATATGTTTTGTTGCAGTACACACGATGCTTTCCTCTCATATATTTATAGAAATGCATCTAACATTTTACAAGAAGCATAATTTGTTATTTGCTGTTCTTTTTTTTTTTTTCAATTAAGTTACTTAACTTAGCTTTTTGGCTTGAAAGCCCTCTATATGACTGGAAAGCCATGGAAAAAGATGGATATTCTTGGTGGATTAGGAGGTTAAGACGTGCACAGAATCTATTGGACGAACTCAGGATTGATCACTTTAGAGGACTTGCTGGCTTTTGGGCTGTCCCCTCTGGTGAGATGATCTTTAATGTAGTCAACTTTAGTTGATTCATTTCAGTTGGAGACAATTATTATTCCTTTGTGCATGCAGAAGCAAAAGTTGCAATGGTAGGACGTTGGAAGGTCAGTTTACCGTTCTTTCATTTTCTAATCTGTTTCTTTCTGACAATTTTTAAAAATATCTCTTAACGATATGTTATGGAAAGTAGGTTGGACCCGGAAAGTCTTTATTTGATGCTATATTCAAAGACGTTGGAGATCTAAACATCATAGCAGAAGACTTGGTAAGTTTCCATTATATAAAAGGCCTTGATCTCTTCTCAAATTCTATACTGAACTTGATATATGATTTTTGGTTTTTGGTGAATGATTGATCTTACTAACTTTTAAGTAGTTCCTAATATAATTAATTGACGCCCTTTTAATTTTCTTCGTTGATTTCTATTTTGAGGAGGTAAAAATGATTTTATCCCTATAAAGCATTGTGTGTTGAAACTATACAATCGACATATTCAAATGTACATGAAATAATTGAATAAATATGAAGAAAACAAGGAAAGAGGAGTGGACTGAGAAGTTCCTAATTTTGAGATTTTTCCTAGTCACTTCTTTCCTTGCCTGGTACTCCTGTAAGGCCCCTATAAAAATACAAAAAAAAAAAATGGGTGTGGAAGTGGTTTTAAAATTTTTGATACAAGAAGAAAGTTGAAAAACTCAATATTTATTAGAGAATAATTTAATTGTAATGAATTGATTGTCTAGAAATTGTACAACGCCTTTGTTTTTATTGGCAAAAATAATATCATAATCCTAATAGCTTAAGGGAAATGAGTAATTAAAATCCTATAATGGTAAAAAAGTCCTATTCTAAACAAGAAAGAAACTCATATTGCCAATGACAGGGAGTGATCACTGAAGATGTAATTCAGCTTAGGAAGGCCATTGGAGCACCTGGAATGGCAGTCCTCCAGTTTGGTATCTAATAACTGCTTGCTTATTATCTACTGCGTCACTTTCAAATTCTTCCTTCCATTGGCATGTTAGTCTGTTTTTTGGGTTTTCCTGTCTAGGTTTTGGAAGTGATGCTGAAAACCCTCATTTGCCTCATAATCATGAGCAGAACCAAGTGGTGTACACTGGCACTCACGATAATGACACGGTAGTCTATCCTCTGATCCCACCTTTTGAGAAGAACATCTTTGTTTGCACTTCATTTTCATTGAAAAATGGTGTGCTTTGTGAGAATTCTGATGGTAAATTTTTATTTTTATTTTTGATAGCTCTGATGGTAAAGTATTATTAGATTGGGCTTGCACAATTGACTTCTGTTGCATCTTCTGTCAGTTCTAAATTTCTTCCACATTTTATTCTCTCTCTTTTTTGAGGGATGGGATAGGGGAGTTGAAAGCAGAAATTAATTTACAACTTTGAAAAGCACCCTTCTGATTCTTTGTAACTATTACAGATTCGAGGATGGTGGGATGTCTTGCCACACGATGAGAAATCCAATGTGAGCATGATTCAATCCCTCCAGTCAAGCTTTTGACAGATTAGCCAGTATGTATGTTGTTCATACTGAAATTTTGTTTTATAATATATTTCTCTGATAGGTACTAAAATATCTTGGAAATATCAAGGAAGATGAAATCTCATGGGCACTAATTCAGGCTGCACTTTCTTCAGTGGCGCAAACTACTATTATACCGATGCAGGATATTATTGGGTTGGGAAGTTCTGCTAGGATGAATATTCCAGCAACTCAGGTAAACGGTCACATTTATGGACATATATACGTGGATACATACGAATTTACTTATTGAAGGGTATTTGGGATCTCTGTATCTGATGGATCATGCCTGAGCTGACTCATTTTTGTTCTTTGTGACCATTAGAGCCTGAAGTATAGGTTTAAAAAGAACGCATAAAAATGTAGGAAGAAGAAATTTTAGAATCTAATAAGAAACCACAAAAAGTTCCAGTATTGAATCCCATGAGTGCAGCACATTAGAAAATATCTGCAGCCGTGATGATATTATTATGTTCTTTGTCCTGTGGAACCAGTGCTTGGTAACTCAATTAACGAATATGGATGCACATACCTTTGTAACATAACATGATTGCATGTGTGTGAGAGTGACACGTGTCTATTCAGGTGTGAATCTGTAAACTATGTTCTACAAGTTGTCTTTTGCTTAACTGATGATTCTTTGTCATCTTTGGAAATCGTAACACGCCATTAGCATAATTTATAATCTACTTAAGAAACCATGCTCCTGTAGAATCTTTTTGCATTCTTCTTCCTTCTGTTCTCCTTTCTTAAACTTCAGACCCATTTCGGTGATCTAGACGTATACTCACCGTGTATGACATTCCTTGATTCCATGAAGCGATAAGATTTAAAAAATCAATGGCTTTTTATTGAGTGAAGACAAAATAATAGTTTGCTGTGCTCCCTAGACGGCATGTTAAGTTGGCTGCATGTGTAGGGACCACAACATCTGGACGTGTCAAGTGTATTTCATTTGGCTTTTTTCCGTGTGCAGTTTGGAAACTGGAGTTGGAGGATCCCCAAGTCCATGAGCTTTGATAGTTTGAATGCAGAAGCAACAAAACTAAGAAATTTGCTCGCGATGTATGGACGGTTGTAACCATTGGTGAAATCCTGATCCTGTAAGTTAAATCATCCAAGTCTTGGTTTGATATCGAAACTTGAGAATCTCTGTTTTTTTAGCTATTTTGTAAGCAACTTGCTGTCCTTTCCCACCAGGCGGCTATAATAGTTAAAGAGCTTGTAAGAGAGAGGTAAAATGAGTTTAGATATATGTGATATCGATAAATTATGAGGACCTTTTGTCTTGATGCTGTATTTTACTTGTAATCCAATAAAAAGAGTTGACACACACCGTGCTTGCCTGCCCGGTGGTTCACTCGCTTTTCAATTTTGTGTTTTCTTTTTATTTTTTCTTGTTACAGTTGATTATGCGGCTATTGATCGAGTTATTTTGGATTAGAATATACAACTAAATCATAAATGCTGTATTATCTATCATATGAACTCTTAACGAAAATTTTGAAATAAGAATCCGGTGTCAGCTCTCGACATTTAGCTTGTGTTTGGCTCATGTTTATGAATATTCAAGTCACTTTTTCTTTTTTCACATAGATCCACGACATTTCTTTGTATTTATTAGTTTAATCTCTATATGAACACTGTTGGAGATTTATCATATCGACAATAGTCACATACCCTCCATTTAATTAAATGGAACACTTTATGCCATAAGACAAATTAATTTCAGAATTTTTAATGTGNCTTAGCTTTTTGGCTTGAAAGCCCTCTATATGACTGGAAAGCCATGGAAAAAGATGGATATTCTTGGTGGATTAGGAGGTTAAGACGTGCACAGAATCTATTGGACGAACTCAGGATTGATCACTTTAGAGGACTTGCTGGCTTTTGGGCTGTCCCCTCTGGTGAGATGATCTTTAATGTAGTCAACTTTAGTTGATTCATTTCAGTTGGAGACAATTATTATTCCTTTGTGCATGCAGAAGCAAAAGTTGCAATGGTAGGACGTTGGAAGGTCAGTTTACCCTTCTTTCATTTTCTAATCTGTTTCTTTCTGACAATTTTTAAAAATATCTCTTAACGATATGTTATGGAAAGTAGGTTGGACCTGGAAAGTCTTTATTTGATGCTATATTCAAAGCCGTTGGAGATCTAAACATCATAGCAGAAGACTTGGTAAGTTTCCATTAAATAAAAGGCCTTGATCTCTTCTCAAATTCTATACTGAACTTGATATATGATTTTTGGTTTTTGGTGAATGATTGATCTTACTAACTTTTAAGTAGTTCCTAATATAATTAATTGACGCCCATTTAATTTTCTTCGTTGATTTCTATTTTGAGGAGGTAAAAATGATTTTATCCCTATAAAGCATTGTGTGTTGAAACTATACAATCGACATATTCAAATGTACATGAAATAATTGAATAAATATGAAGAAAACAAGGAAAGAGGAGTGGACTGAGAAGTTCCTAATTTTGAGATTTTTCCTAGTCACTTCTTTCCTTGCCTGGTACTCCTGTAAGGCCCCTATAAAAATACAAAAAAAAAAAATGGGTGTGGAAGTGGTTTTAAAATTTTTGATACAAGAAGAAAGTTGAAAAACTCGAATATTTATTAGAGAATAATTTAATTGTAATGAATTGATTGTCTAAAAATTGTACAACGCCTTTGTTTTTATTGGCAAAAATAATATCATAATCCTAATAGCTTAAGGGAAATGAGTAGTTAAAATCCTATAATAGTAAAAAAGTCCTATTCTAAACAAGAAAGACACTCATATTGCCAATGACAGGGAGTGATCACTGAAGATGTAATTCAGCTTAGGAAGGCCATTGGAGCACCTGGAATGGCAGTCCTCCAGTTTGGTATCTAATAACTGCTTGCTTATTATCTACTGCATCACTTTCAAATTCTTCCTTCCATTGGCATGGTAGTCTGTTTTTTGGGTTTTCTTGTCTAGGTTTTGGAAGTGATGCTGAAAACCCTCATTTGCCTCATAATCATGAGCCGAACCAAGTGGTGTACACTGGCACTCATGATAATGACACGGTAGTCTATCCTCTGATCCCACCTTTTGAGAAGAACATCTTTGTTTGCTCTTCATTTTCATTGATAAATGGTGTGCTTTGTGAGAATTCTGATGGTAAATTTTTATTTTTATTTTTGATAGCTCTGATCGTAAAGTATTATTAGATTGGGCTTGCACAATTGACTTCTGTTGCATCTTCTGTCAGTTCTAAATTTCTTCCACATTTTATTTTCTCTCTTTTTTGAGGGATGGAATAGGGGAGTTGAAAGCAGAAATTAATTTACAACTTTGAAAAGCACCCTTCTGATTCTTTGTAAGTATTACAGATTCGAGGATGGTGGGATGTCTTGCCACACGATGAGAAATCCAATGTGAGCATGATTCAATCCCTCCAGTCAAGCTTTTGACAGATTAGCCAGTATGTATGTTGTTCATACTGAAATTTTGTTTTAATAATATATTTCTCTGATAGGTACTAAAATATCTTGGAAATATCAAGGAAGATGAAATATCATGGGCACTAATTCAGGCAGCACTTTCTTCAGTGGCGCAAACTACTATTATACCGATGCAGGATATTATTGGGTTGGGAAGTTCTGCTAGGATGAATATTCCAGCAACTCAGGTAAACAGCTGCATTTATGGACATATATACGTGGATACATACAAATTTACTCATTGAAGGGTATTTGGGATCTCTGTATCTGATGGATCATGCCTGGGCTGACTCATTTTTGTTCTTTGTGACCATTAGAGCCTGCAGTATAGTTTTAAAAAGAACGCATAAAAATGTCGGAAGAAGAAATTTTAGAATCTAATACGAAACCACCAAAAGTTCCAGTATTGAATCCCAATGAGTGCGGCACATTAGAAAATATCTGCAGCCGTGATGATATTATTATGTTCTTTGTCCTGTGGAACCAGTACTTGGTAACTCAATTAACGAATATGGATGCACATACCTTTGTAACATAACATGATTGCATGTGTGTGTGAGTGACACGTGTCAATTCAGGCGTGAATCTGTAAACTGTGTTCTACGAGTTGTCTTTTGCTTAACTGATGATTCTTTATCATCTTTAGAAATCGTGACACTCGATTAGCATAATTTATAATCTACTTAAGAAACCATGCTCCTGTAGAATCTTTTTTCATTCTTCTTCCTTCTGTTCTCCTTTCTTAAACTTCAGACCCGTGTCGGATTGTCGGTGATCTAGACATACTCACTGTGTATGACATTCCTTGATTCCATCAAGCGATAAGATTTAAAAAATCAATGGCTTTTTATTGAGTGAAGACAAAATAATAGTTTGCTGTGCTCCCTAGACGGCATGTTAAGTTGGCTGCATGTGTAGGGACCACAACATCTGGACGTTTCAAGTGTATTTCATTTGGCTTTTTTCCTTTTGCAGTTTGGAAACTGGAGTTGGAGGATCCCCAAGTCCATGAGCTTTGATAGTTTGAATGCAGAAGCAACGAAACTAAGAAATTTGCTCACGATGTATGGACGGTTGTAACCATTGGTGAAATCCTGATCCAGTAAGTTAAATGATCCAAGTCTTGGATTTGATATCGAAACTCGAGAATCTCTGTTTTTTTAGCTATTTTGTAAGCAACTTGCTGTCCTTTCCCACCAGGCGGCTATAATAGTTCAAGAGATTGTAAGAGATAGGTAAAATGAGTTTAGATATATGCGATATCGATAAATTATGAGGACCTTTTGTCTTGACGCTGTATTTTACTTGTAATCCAATAAAGAGAGTTAACACACCCTGTGCTTGCCTGCTCGGTGGTTCACTCGCTTTTCAATTTTGTGTTTTCTTTTTCTTTTTATTTTTTCCTGTTACAGTTGATTATTCGGCTATTGATCGAGTTATTTTGGATTAGAATAACTTAATTAACAACTAAATCATAAGTGCTGTATTATCTATCATATGAACTCTTAACGAAAATTTTGAAATCAGAATCCGGGGTCAGCTCTCGATGTTTAGCTCATGTTTGGCTCATGTTTATAAATATTCAAGTCACTTTTTCTTCTTTCACATAGATCCACGTCATTTCTTTGTATTTATTTATTTAATCTCTATATGAACACTTCTCAAATATATTTTTAATTTCTAAAAGAAGTACTCAAAACTAAACCTAATAAATAATAATTTTTTGAACAATTACGAATTATTAAGAGACGTATTACAAAACACGGTTAGTATTGATACAACAATCATATTTTGTTAAACTACCCTATAATTAAATTAAATGTCATGATTTTTGCTCATTATCGTACTATGTCTTCAACTTTAATCGTTGCACTCTTATCGCATCTTGTCTCTAATCCTATTTTTCGTTAAGATGGCGTAAAAAGATTTATTTGTATCTCATGTTTTTAAATAAGTAAATAAATATAAAAGTGTGATTAAATATATGTCCCTCATTTCAAAGCAAAATTTAAGTGTGACAATAGACCTTTAACACAATTTTTTTCTTTTCTTTTTATGAAGTGACAAAAATCGTGAACATGGACGAACATGCTATTGATATAAAAGTATGAAGAGTTAGATATGAATTGTGATATGTCTCGATGTATGGTTCGTTTAGTTAGACATTTATCGTTGCTTGAACAAAGGGTTAACAGAGAGAAAAAAATAAGTAGGAAGAAAACATTTTTTATAAATAGTGAAGTAAATTAACGTCAGCCCCACGGCACAAGCCAGCAGTTCTCCTCTTCTTCCTCCCCTCGACGACTTCCCAGTACACGCGCCACTTCGCCAGGTACCCTTTACCCCTCTCTCTCTCTCTCACACTCACACACCCCATAAACAGTGGATCAGCGTGAGTGCTTTCTGCTTGGAATTATTCTTTTTAATTTTTTTTTAAAGAAAATTAACACAGCCCACTCGAACTCTCAATTGCTAATCCGCTAATCGGTCCTTATTCCTAAATCAAATTCTTTACGTTCTCCTCTCTATTATTGTTAATGTGGGGGGTAAATAATCAACTAATTAATAGAAATCAGGCTTCTTAAACACAATTCACACTATTTTAAAATTTGCAGTTTTATTTTACAACGGTGGTTTCTTTTCTTTTTCTTTATTCCCTCTTAAGCAATTTATTTTTTATTTTTTGTACAATTAAATTTTTTAGATCTTAACATGTGAGTTGTGACAGTTACAACTGGATTTGCTATATGTTTTATTATTGTGTGTTTAGTCTTCTTGTGATTACTTCTTTAACTCCGGGGTGGAGGCTTTAAGTTCAAGGTCAAAGGCATATGGAGCGAACTGTAAAGAGTGTTTATTTATTGTGTTTTCAAGTGATTTCTATCCCATTGGGGTAGATATTTGTTTCAAGTAGAAGAAGATGTATTTTATAAAATTGATAGTGAGTTCAATATGCAGCATTTTTAAAGTATGAAACCCAAAACAATTGTAAATTACATTTTTAATGTTATTGTGTTATTTAAATTCTTTTTCTGTACTAAATTCTTGCCCTCACTAGACTGAAATCCTGGCTGTGCCGCTGCAGTGCTGCTCGATGCTTCACTGTGGAAGTAATTTACAGTTATTCTCATGCATGTTCCTACATTGGTTTTTTTTCATTCCTTCCAATGGAATTATATCTGAACCCAAACTTGTATTCTGTATTTGCTCAATTCAGTTCTACTGTCAATGAAGAATTGATCTATGTTAACATCTTTTCTGATAGTTAATTTTATCTTATAAACAGTAATTTTGTGTTTGGATTGAGTTCTGCGACTTGAATCCATTTGCGTTTTTTAATGTTCACTTTCGCAATTTTGTGATTTTATTTTCCGTTTTTCCGTTTTGATATTTTTTTGTGCTTCAGAGTTTGATCTCTTCATGTTTTGACGGGTTAATTTAAATACATGACTCTGTAAGTATAGTTCTCATTTTCTTATTTATGGGATGCCCTTACCTTCAATTTTTTGGTACCTGTCGTTCTTCGTGACAGTTTCCATAAAAAAATCTCGCAAATGGTCTCTTGTGCCTCGTGCGATGAAATAATGGTAAATATGGCTGCCATCTCCATTTCACAAACCCATCATCCTACCTCAATCAAAATCTGTATCAATGTCAGGCTAGGAACCTTGGCTTTGTATAATCTTTCTCCCATCTACCCGTAAAGATGTCGTAAGCTATTGTAGCCTTTTCATCTTTATTCCTTGAGTCACTGTCATTTCAAAGGATTCCCCACAAGGGTTTTTTCTGCAATTCCATTCTTTTTATTATTATTCTTAAAGATTTCATTTTTATAGATGTGTGGCCTGGTTTAATTAATTATAATCATCCTGCAAATTAACAGATTAAGAGTGTACAAGGTTGTAAGGAATGTAAAAAAGAGGAAATAAAATGAAACCCCGACCAAGGGCTCGAGGTCCCTCCCCTTTGGTCTGACAATAAGTTCAAGGCTCACAAAAAATGGAAGTGTATACCAGGAAGCCCCTCGCCTTTGAATCTGTGGCCCATGGTTTTCTTTGATTTTCATTTGAATGCTCCCCTCTCCAACAATAAAGCTTCCATGTTTTAACATCTAGACACATTTCCCACTTTAGCATTCCCCAAAACCACATCTATTCCTTACCACCAGACTACACATAATTTTTAATTCTCTTACCCCCAATCATATTTGCTTCATGGACTTCATCTAACAAGTGGAATGTTTCAGTTTTTGAACAATAATAGTATTGTTAGTATTATTTTTTTTCCTTTTGGGAAAAGTGGTGTTTTCTCCTGGAGGAAATGGTGTTTCAAAAAATACCGACAGCCTAAGCCTTCTGCAAATGAGGTTGGTTACCCTCCTCTGCCAAAGCTTGTAGCGGGATGGGGAATAGTGGCAGGGTGGAGGTGGGGGTCGTGTAAAAGATGATTGGTTTCAGGGATTTGGGGGCATGAAGAAACCTGAGAAGCAGGAGGAGAGAAAGTGTGGAGAGATAAATAGAAAGGTTTTGGAAAAAGTTGGGAAGAGAAAAGGGAAACAGTGTTCGACACTAGTACCCTTATTCATTTAATCATGTGAGATGGCCATGGCCATTTAAGGGTTTTTTTTTTTTTTCCGGTGGAAACCTTCACTGGGAATGGTGAGCACAAAAAAAATGAAAGGTTGGGATAATACTGCCAAGAAATAGAAGGTTCACGACATCAGCTTCAATTTTCTCTGAAAAATGGACGTTCCATTGATGATTCTTATTCATAAGGGATATCTGTAAATGAGAGCTTTGTTATATTTTACGTGTACAATGTATTCTGTACTTTCTGCAGGTGATGAACTGTTTTTACTGATTTGTTAAGTAATTCATTAATTGTCATTTGGGTTCAATGTTTTTTAGCTGTTACTTGACTTTAAATATGTCTTACTTCATATCTGAGTTAATACCCTCCTCTCACTATAGTGTTACTTTTGAGCAAATTTCATCATCTGTTAATATCATTCTTAAACTTTTGGGTTAACTGCTTCCATGTTGGTTGATGTGATTCAAGTATCTGTGGTGACTGTGTTACCATTGTGAGATTCAATGTTGTAAACTTGGGAACACTTTTGTGGTAGTACAATAATCTAACTAGGTATTTGAGATATGTCTGAATAGAGAAAGTTCCTACGAAACTGAGGTGGAAAATTGATTTGATGTCCATCAGCATAACATAAAATATTGTCAGATTAGGTGCTATCTAGAGCCTCCATTATATGTTTTTGTATTCTCTCGTGCTACTAGTGACAGTTGTGATGTAAAATTTTAAAACTAGGCCATGTTTTCATCAATGAAGATCCCTTTCAATTAGATGGCTAAGGGAATAAGATAACGCAGGATTGGAATTACAGAATCATATATACATTATATGCAGATATGTACAGGTTCTATTATACACGTATTTAAAAAAAATAAAAAAAATCTATGTTCCTTAGAATCTTTTGAGTACATGACCACCAGGCACTTGACACTCAAATAATTTATTTGGAAAAAGCACATTAACTATATTAGATTTGTTTCCAAATTACATTAAACGAGTTTGTTTTCATTTGAAAAATTTCTATTACATTAGCCATAATTTACGTACAAATAAAGGAGAAGGTTTGTAACTTGCGTGTATCCTAAATTAAGAGCTTTGATGAGTTTGTCGTTAAGAGCTTTCATGCCCTCTCCATGACTTCATAATTCATAATAGTATACAGAGAGTGATATGGTATTATTAACTATTGTCCATACACGTTAATAATATATAATTGACTCTCCAGTAAATAATAATATTTGGATACAAAAGTATAAATTATTTGGTATCCATGTAAATCCACATATTATTTTGTATTTACTCCACCATAAGCACAATAAATAATTTTTAAAATGTATTTTCTGTTTCAACTTGTTTATGTATACTTGTAATTTTTAGAATACCGGATTAGGGCTCAGGTGATGCATAATGAGAACTTATACAATGTACATTACCTCTACAATAATCTCTAAACCAAAAAGCTATTCTGAAAATTGATTTCGATGTAAAAAGGTTTTTATCAAAGTGAATAGTACCTATTTTCTTTTCGAATATTATTTCTGCAATGTAAAATGGAAATTGCTTGCTCAAAATTGCATTTGTTATTAGATATCAACTCTGTAATCCTTTTAAAGTGATTCCAGTCCTGATTTGAGACTTTTGTTAAGATGATATTTGGAAAAAAAGAAAAAAGAAAAAGGTTGTATTAAGTAGAGTTGGATCATAAACCATGTCCTTGTTTTTCTCTAAACACTTGAAGGAGATAAAGTTATGTAATGGGTTCCATATGAAGTATTATATTTTTTAAAATGTAAAGTTTCCATTTTTTTTGTGAAATGAGCATTTTCTGAAACAACCTAAAACAGAAATAAAAGGCATGCATTATGAAAGGACTTGCTAATTATTAGAGCACCTAAGGCATTTTCTTAAGCAGAATCTGGACATATTTCTGAAGTTGATCTTGAGTAGTAAGCTGAATGGCTCTTTGTTGGAGTATTTATTCAAAATGTGAGGGGTGAACTAATGGGCTGGCTGAAAAGTGAGGTGGAGAGAGTCTGTGTTTGTGAAATCTATTGTAATTCACTCATTAGCATGCAAGGCTAACTTGGAGATCAATTTAAATGATACCAGATCTTTTGCTAAACTTATATTTTGATTACCTCCATATCATTGTTTTAGTCTCTTCATTTTTGTTGTAGACAATATTTCTATAAATTTCAGTTCCATCATCATTGACAAGTTCCATTTTAGGATAATCAAATGGAGGATGCGACTCAAGTAGAAGACGAAAGGTCCGAAGAAATCTCAGAAAACACCCCTGACAAGAAGCAAGAAACCCTTGAAGAGATGCTTTTTAGGCACAGGTACTGCATACGTGTCTAACCTGTATCGCTCCTTTCTTATGTTAAATATTGCGCTTCAGTTTGAGGGTTGATGAGCAAGTCTGATTTGATTTGCATTTGGGAAGATTTGGTAGCGATCTATCCTTGCACCCTTGTTGCAAGTGGGACAATAATCCAATTGCAAATAGATGAAAAAGAGAATATAAAATGCTATTTTAGTCTGTCGATGTAAAAATAGAAAAGGTTGAACAATCGAGAATTATATTGGCATTCTAATGCATTCAGGCAATGGCATTTGTTAATATCTCCATATCTATTTAATGAGTTGCAGGAAAGAGACAATGGATCTACAGAACAAAGAAATTGCAATGAAAAAGGCAGCAGCTAAAGGCAGCAAGGCTGAACAGAAAGCTAAGAAGAAACAAGTTGATGAAGATATATCTAAGCTTTCAACGAAGCTCAAAGAAAGACACGCGGAGGAACTGGCTTCTATAGGATATAGCAGTGCTGCTGAGAATGGAAGAGGAAATCTTGACAATTTGGTAAAGGCCATTGCTGGGGTTTCAGTCACCAATCAAGCTGACCATTCAAAACCTAGCAAGGGTGTCAAGCGGCGTGAGAAAAGATCTCAACAGGAAGCTGCCAGAGAACAAAGAATACAAGAAGAGCAGAGCAAGATGGTAAGTGACCGAATGATTGAAAGCGAGAAGTTAGAACAAAAGTTGGAACCCCTTGGATTGACAATTAATGAAATAAAGTCCGATGGGCACTGTCTTTACCGAGCTGTCGAGGATCAGTTGGCCATTCTCTCTGGAGGTTCTTCTCCCTGTACTTACCAAGAACTTCGGGAAATGGTAGCTGCTTATATGCGGAAACATTCATCAGATTTTCTTCCATTTTTTCTCTCTGAGAATATAGCAGAGGGAGAATCTGAAAAATCTCTTGCAGAAAGGTTTGAGAATTACTGTAGAGAAGTGGAGTCAACGGCAGCATGGGGAGGACAGCTAGAACTTGGCGCTCTAACCCATTGCCTCAAGAAACATATTACTGTATTTTCAGGATCTTTTCCTGATGTGGAGATGGGAAAGGAATACAAATCTGCTGATGGGACTGGCTCATCTAGTTCAAGTATTATGCTATCGTATCATAGGCATGCTTTTGGGCTCGGAGAGCATTATAATTCAGTCGTCCGCAGTTGAGCCTGACACTTGTTTTACTGTACTCCGGAATGTTATATTTTATGTTTATTCGATGCGCTCGATAAGTCGAACATATCTCTTATTTCAGGTTGTTTAGTTTTGCCGTTGTACTTGAAAATGTATCTTCAATTTTGAATTAACAGGCTTGCAGGAAACAGCCATAATTCTTTTCTTGTCTTTTAATCGAAATTTTTTGGTCCGGGACTGCTTACTACAGAATCTTGAATCTTGAAAACTGTTGCTTCGTTTGTGTTTGCGGTACTATTTTGTGTGTCATGTTTATAAACTTGATGATCTATATTCACAGTAATGATCCTGAATCATGGCATTTTCCTCCTTTTTTTGACAAATAAAGATAAATTCATTACTGCAAAACAGCCACGAATTTTAGGCAAAAGGAACAGAGGAATACAATATTTCAACTACAGCTCTTCCAAGGAGAAAAGATGGCATTTTCCTCCTCATTGACTTGACCTTGTAACGAGGGGATTTGGTTTGAAATTGAGCGATGGACCGAGCACGAATCAAGAGAATGACGACTCTTAATTTCTTATAACTTGTTTTACATAGATCAAAGAAATTCAACCTTTAATAAGAGAGAGTGACGATTCTTTAGGTGCTTACAACTTGTTTTACATAGATCAAAGAAATGCAACGTTTAACTTCAGTATAACATGTTAGAAGAGGGAAGGATAAATGAAGATTTTACTAATGAATATCAAGGAATTGAATAAAATAATGGAAATGAGTCGATATGGTTAACTTATAAATTTATTTTTGTAATACACAATCCCTTTTCCCAAATAAAGATGCCACGAACAGATTTTAATTGAAAAAAATTAGGCATTTTCTAAACTACAAGGAGCTATTGATTCAATTTTTTGATAGATTCAGTATAGCATTGGAAGACATTCGAACAAGAGGATATACACTTGATTCATTTAAAATTTATTTTTTCTTTTCAAGATGAAGTCACCTTGATAGAACTAGGATGGTAAAACATTCCCCCTCGAAGAATAAATGAAGCCTAGGAGGAAAATATAGTCCCCATTCCAAATTCTACGAATCTTATATTATATTTTATTTTGATCATTTTAAATTTAATATTATATTTAAAAATAAAATTAATAGTACAAATAAAAATTTAACGTGTCAATAAATGAAAAGTTTGATTCCCACCTCCCAACAAGATGGGAATGATAATGATCGTCCCGACCTCCATCCTAATAGAAGTTGCGGCTCGAGTGCCAACCGGAGCCAAGTAACGACAATTAACTGTCAGTTTAAAATAAGACTCAGTACTTATTCATTATAAGAAGATAAGAAATGAGTATTGACTCTACCAATTTTAAGCAGCAGCAGCATTATTTTCAAATTTTTTAGTTAAATAAGAAAAACATAATAACAACTTTACAATAGAATTGACAAAAGCATCCAACGAGTAACAAATATAATCCACATTTACAGCATACCATTACTAATGCCGTCCATGTCTTTCGACTCAATAACATTAATCACCTTACAAATTTCATAGGAACCAAAATTGAATTATGTCTGATTATTTCTTCAACAAGAACTCAATTTGTTCAAGCACCTGCCAACAAGTATAATCAAGTTAAGAATCAACTCTACGAGTTTGGAGAAGATTATAGACAGACGAGAGGGAGAGGGTGATAGACCTCGATTGCAATTACAGTGGGCGTGAGATTGCATACATCTGTATCTCTCAGTTTGGCTGCAATATCTGCATAATGGAGACGTATATTCATCAGTGACATCACAAAGACAACCAAATTTATATAATGAAAAAGTGCCGAAGCACTAATGCAGGATGAAAAGATGAACAAATAAATCAAGATTAGGATCAGGTAAGTTGAAGTCTTACTTTCTAGGGAAACTCTGGCACTTGCATTGGCATATGCTTCACCCCGCTCTTTGAAAAGGGTAGATAGCCGCTTCATGGCCTACACAAATCCCAGGTCAGTTAAGAAAACAGCGTGAGTCTATGTTCACGATGAACAACCACATAAGAATTTCATCTTTTTGACTTTGATGTTTGGAGCATATAGACTCGTATACTACCCGAAGATGTCCAATGATATTGATATGGAGACAATCTACCTTAAGATAAGGATCTCCAGATTCGTGATGCAAAAGGGGCCGAGAACCAGTCCCTACAGCTGTAATTCTTCGTGCTAATGCTTCCAAAGGTACATCTAGCCAAACACTGATACCATTTTGCATGTATCTCCTGACAAGGCAAAAGTGGTGACCAGTTAGACAACAGCGAAGGAGAAGGAGAAGCAACCATACCATAAGAACACAATATCATTTAATATTGTTACCAATTGATAGGCCGAACAACTGCACCCCCACCCGTGGAAACAACTAATCGATGCATCATAGACAGCTTCCGTAATACCTCAGTCTAAAGGGAAAAAGTAGAACTGATAAACTTTAATTTCAGGAATCATAAAACAGAGAGAGCAAAGTTTTGCATTCACTTATAATTAGCAGCACTAAATTGCAAGACCTTTCAGATGCAAAAGTATTGATCATACGAGAAGCTAAATTCCTGGAAAGCACTTTCTCCATCCCATAATTTTCCTTATGTGGTCAAGTTGACCTCTTTCAGAGCCAAATTGACAGCAATCAACTTAATGCTGGAAAATTACTAAGAGGTTGTTTGACAGAGCTTTTGATAAAAGTTTTGGTAGACTTTGATTAAAAAAAAGTCGATGAAATCTACGTTGGAAAAGTTGATAAAAGTTATGAATCCCATTAAATGTCTGGTTATAATTTAAGTTTGATTTGATAAAGTTTTATCAAACAAGCTATAAAGTACATAGAGGTGCTAATGCAAGAAAGGTTTGGGGTTTCTGAACAAAGTAAATAATAAACAAAATTACATGAAATAAAATTCTGAAGAAAATTTCAATGTCTAAATACAGTCAGTAATTCAAATATCTTTAATAAAAAAACAATGAAATTGATCTTGGGTGGGTTGTGAATCTGCAAGGAATAGAAAACTGACTTTCATACAAAGAGCCAAGCTTATGAACAAGGAACAAATTTTAAGTACAGATTCACTAAATTTAGGCAGTTCAAAACATTATCCTCAAACATTGACGAGGACAAATCTGAGGTAATATGCATGAACTATCAACTGCAAAATTATAAGTTCAAATGTGCAAGCAGCTCTTTTTGAAAATAGGTCTAGGTCTAGGCCCAGGCCATTCACCTGGGTAATCTCACTTTGTGACATTTAGCACAGGTCAATAAAATTAACAACTGCATGCATCATTTTTGAGGAAGGCTATCACACACATTTGCACTTATATGGCATAGAATAAGGCGCTTTTTGATTTTGACTAAGTGAGGAAATAAAAGATTAGTACCATTTTTAAGTTTCTTTGACCATAAGTTTTGAAGAAGCTCAAAACAGAAAGCTTCTAGAATTTTGGGAAAGCAATCAGAACTTCGTAAATTGAGAGACAAGTAAAATGTCTGTCATTTAAATAAAATAATTTCATCATATACAGGACAAATATATATTAAAATCTAGTAGGAAAATTATCCTTATTTTCATCCGTCTAGTTAAATAAGTTGAAGTATAATGGATTAATCAGAATTTTGAAGTTTCAAAATTAACCTTATATTCTTTTCCTTTCTTTATATGGAAATGTGTCTCAACTTTGAAGAATGAGAAACACGAAAAGCATTTATTCACTTGAGGTGCCTCGGTTAAGGATTAATATGGGAACAGAGAAAGATTTTTATTTTCTCTGTTAATTCCATCCCCACTATCAACGGTAGCATGAGACGTCGAAAACGTTCAAAAGATAAGACTAACATTGTCAAGTGTTCAAAAGCATAAAAATTGATATGTGGTTGAAGTGAAAGAATCAACGAGCTTTGTATTAAGACTTAATGTTTTATCTTAAAATGTCAACATTCTTAAGACGAGTAGTGCAAGCCCTTATATGTTGGTTTATATTTTCATCTTTATTCGATTTGAGATTTAATCCCTTAACAAGCCCTTACAAGATGACGGTTCATTTGAGCAAATCAATCTTGAAATCATTGTGTTCATTTTTTTGAGTCTTAATTGGATCGAATTACTCGTTGGAGCTTAACGAGCTTTAATACCATGTAAAGACTTTGCGTTCTATATTAAAATCTCAACCTTATTAAGACGGATAGTCAAAGCCCTTATATGTTGATCTATATTTTCATCTTTATTCGACGTGAAATTTTGTCCCTTCAACACTTTGATCTTTTTAAACGGTGAAACTATCGAGCATTCAAACTGTATAACTGGTGGAGAGTAATAAAGATGACATGAAGTACCCTTGCTTTGGGGAGAAGTAATGAGAAGTGAGAAAGGACAAATAAATATACGAGAAAATATAAACAAGACCAGCTGTTGGCACCACTGATGCAGATAAAGCACAAGACTACATTGAACTCAAAATTAGGTTCAATATGAAGACAAGAGCTCTCTAATTATCTGCCTGGAATTACCTACTCACTGTGAGAAGATACTGCAATAAAAGTTTTATTTTTCAGTAACTAACCTCATTGTCTCTGAAGAAGTTCTCTCCATGAAACTTGAAGATTTCAGCCACAGTAGTTCCATCAACAGCTTTCTCAATTAGTGTATCACTGAGCATTCAAAAAGTAATGTGATCTATACATATCAGAAGGAAATATAATAAGGACATTTTCTATTATATGCACACTGCTAATAAGCTAACAGAAAAAGGATCAACTTATATACCATCCTAATCCAAAACCAGGGGTTGCTAATTACTAAAATAGAAAAGATGATCTTTGAACTTACCAGTCATAAAATGAATACCCAAGAGCTTCTGATAAAACCTTCCCCACTGTTGTTTTTCCAGATCCCATCATTCCTGCATTATGTAAAAAAATGGATAAAATGCAAATGATCATCAACATTATATCCGATTTAAGAAAATAGGGATGAGACTGACCGACAAGATATATACAACGTCCATTTAGATATTGTTCAACCTCTTTTGCTTTATTCTGAAAAAGGCATTCACATTGAGTAAAATGCTGAATTCAATTTCTCGAATACTTGTGAAAATCCCAATGTCATTTCAGCTATTTAACAGATTTGCTAGGCAAAAACGTCTTTGGTGCCAAAAATATTTTCACAAAAATTGAGCAACATAAATTCAAATAAGACAGTCAAAGGATCATAGATACCTCCAAAATTGTAGTTTCATTAAATGATGCAGGAAAACTCCCAGACTCCAGCACCGAATCTACAAAACCAGTAAAAGGATGTCAGTCACAAATGTGGTACTTGCAAGTTACATGTTCACATTTCTTTGTGTAGGTTAAGAAGTGACAAAACAAATAGTAATCTTAAGAAGGAAGACTGCAGTAGGAGTCTTCACATAATGCAACAAATGATTGTTCTCAATTTCATGAAGAGCATAAATATGACAGTCATAGTTCGTCATTAAGGACAAGAAATTATATTTTTTAACAATGTTCGTGTGCCAATAAATAATATTTTATCTGTTTATATCTTCTACACATGATAGTTGTACAAAATTTAGTGCCTGCGCTCCAAAAGATGAAACTAGCAATAACATGAGGATTAAAACTTTCTATGAGTAGTACTAAATGTATGCAAAAAGATAGAATTAAATAGAGCTCACTCATTCCCACTTTCCCTGATTTTGACTCTAATCTGAAAAATACTAACCAGTAAGGTTAGCATCATACTTGGAAATGGAGAAAGGGAACACAAAAGGACTTTTTTTCCGTACAACTTTATTCCCCTAAATAATGATGCAGCTAGAATGTCCAAAATATTGAGGGGCCATATGTGCCACTCCTGCCTTATCTAGCACTACAAAAAAAAAAAAAAGTAAAAAAATATGGTCTCTTACTCATCATGGACCCCACACCTATTTTTATGTTGGAGCTCATGTGGTGCATAACTATAACTCGTTGAACTAGTTTCGAAGTTAAATTAGAGCTATTCATCAATGAAAATGGTACAAGCGTAGGCATAAGGGTACAGTGTAGATAATGAATTTCTATTTTTTCACGACTTTGATCAAAAAGAGGTTGCATAACTACCTGGTACATTTTCAGAAGAGCATGAAACCTTCAAAACTAATGGTCTTTGCCAACTCCTTCCTTTTCTAGTCCGCAAATGATATGAAATAGTTGTCTTATAGCTATGCTGTTGCCCACAGTTCTGGGAAAACCGCAATAAACCATTTGGTTTTCTTACAGTCTTTTCCGAATTCATCCATGTTGACAGTTGCAAGCTTTGTGAAACTTTAGACTCCATAATATTCCACTACCTTTTTTCTCTTATTTATCTCAATCGAAAAAGAGGAACTCAGCTTTTATTTCCAAAAAAACTTAAAAAATAGTACAGAACACTAGTCACGGCCAACAAAACTTGGGCCTCAGATTTTCTGCAGAGAACAAAAATTCAATTAAAACGTCACAATTTTCTCAATGAATGGAGTAAATAAACGGCCACAAGTACAAAGACTCAATCTTTATCTCCTAACCTCTTGATTTTCCTTTCAATTAATGAACAAATTCACCGAATCCATCCAAAGAATCAAAGAGGCAAAGTTCTCCAAATCAGGTCTTGAAAGTCACATTTCAATATAATCAATATATAATCATCCACTTAAACGCTAGAAATTGCACACATCAAACATTCTTCTGTTTGTTAATTTAACCGAGCCAGAATATTACAGGCGGAGACATGACTGCGTAGTAAAGGACGGTGTTTTTCTTACCTGAAAGTCGTCAAACTGGTGGCTGCTAGCACTATTCGATTAGAGTAATGTTTAATGCAGGAATTGTGGTAGGTGGGAATGAACTCTCAACTTCAAAACGTAGTTGTATTTATATATACGGAAGAAAATTGCCACGAGTTTGGTGATGATTCACAGCGGTGGTTCTAATCCAACCGGGTAGTAGTTAGGAATATTTTTACGTTTTATTTAAAAGATATTTTATTTTTAATTAAATAGGACGGACCTCAACAACCTTATTTCCTTTAGGGTCATATTGATCTCAATCTTCTTATTTGTAATAATTGAGTAATCTTAAGCACCGTACTTACGAACCCCTCGTAGGACCTTATGGAGAAGGACCCCAACTCTCATATGGTCATATGATGCAATATCGATCTGTCTTAGATTGTGTCTGGTACAACTTTTTCAACCAAAAACATCACTTTTTGTACCATTGGTTTTTAAATTCAGCCGCAATTGTTAAATGTTTGTCTCACATGTGGGCCCTGCTGGTTGAAAAAAAAGTCATATTTCTGTGCTGAAAATCGCCAACAGACACACCCTTAGTTTTGGTAACTCAAATATAGGAATCATCTCGTAATTGGACAATACAATTATAATTTCCTTGCATCTGCACTAATACATTGAAATCCTCGACAAGCATGAGTCCAATTCTATCATATCATTGATTCATTCATTCATTCATGTACTTCCTCATTTATAGCTCTAATATTCTCTCAAGCATTGTAAGAGCAACGGGATAAAACCTCCACACCTTGTTTTAGGTAATAGGAAGCCATGTTCGTGATCTTAGCTCAAACCCATCTTGTTCGAGCTTTTATACGCACTAGTATGATATTTGGCAACATTAAATTTGAATACTACACATACAACCTATGTCAATCTGGCACTATTTTATCCCATGTTTGAGCTTCATGTATAAAATTATTTAATTGGAAAAATGTGTGGTTGAAAATGAGTTTGAAGAAAAATAAATTTTAAAAATGTGGCTCAAGGATTGGACTTGGTATCCAATAATTATTAAGACACATTTCCTGAGATATTTTAAAATTAAAAATTCATTCTAATAATATATTCCTATACCAAATTAGGTGTGGAAAAAGTCCCCCTTCAACGTGATCGAATTGGATTGTTTAGTATTATAAATAGCTTCTCAATGATTTTTATATATTTTTGTCGTGAAAAACGTGGGAAGTTTCTAACCTTTTGTTTTTAATTCTTTTCAAAGTATTTTTGTCTTTTATTTATTATAGCACATCTTACAATATCCGAATATATTAAGCCATTGTTTGATGCACTATAAAAATAGTTTTTTTTTTCTTTTTTTGAGAAAGTGAGTTTTGAAATAATGATTTTTCTGAAAATGTGTTGTTAAAAAATAAGAATTTTTTTTGAATTTACGTGCAAAATATTTATTGTGGAAATGTGTGATTGAAAATAAGTTTTAGAAAAAAGAATTGTTGAAGAATGATAGACAAACAGAGGCTGAGTTTAGATATCTTAGAATTTGTCTGAGCCCATTTTTTCTTAAAAATGTATTTTTGAATAGTAGATTAGTAGAAGATGTGTAGTTGAAAATAAGGAAAAATTTTGAGTTTTCGTGTAATATTATTTTATTGAAAAATGTGTATTTGATAAGAAGAAAGATAAAAATATATTTTGAAAATAATGAGGATCAAACAAGGGTTTAATAACTAAGTTATTTTCGACTATCCAAATCATTGTTATTAAAACCGGACCAGACCAGACCGGCCGGTTCGATCCGGAACCCGTCGAACCGGACCATGGTCCGGTCCGAGCAGTATATTTTTTTAACAATGCAGTCAACCCAGAAAAAACCCATTGGATCGCCGGGTTTTACATAAAATTGTTGGCCCAAATCTGGAAAACCCACCCGGTCCACATAAAAACCCTAAAAACCCAAAAGGCAAACACTCATTCTCACTTCTCAGTCGTTTTCGTTGCATAGCCGTAGAGAATCCTCAGCCTTCGCTTGCAATTTCACTCCCAACAATCAAAAGCTTTAATTTCAAGGTGTATTAGATGGAAGAAGAAAATGTAAGTCCTAAATTTAATTTTTTTTTTTTGTGATTTTCACTGTTGTGCGATTAAATTCTGCCAAAATATTTCGATGGGTTGGCTGAATTTTGGAAGATTTTTACCATAATTTCGTGTTATAGTTGTCTATATGTTGTATACTCTATACAAAAACTGTGTTGTAAAATTTAAATGCAATTTGATGGGTGAATATGGAATGGATTTATTTGGTTACCGTCCAGAAGAAGAGGTTCTTGCCGAGCTTGATTTCGTTTTGGAATTCAGAGAAACGTTGGCCTTCTTATTAAATTTTATTTTCTGTTTTTATATTTTGGCTTTTTAGTAGGGAAAATTGTTTGACAAAATTACTTTTTAAAATAAAAATAAATTAAGGGAAATTACATTTCATGCGCAAAATTACCAATTGTGCCAATACAAAGGATTGTGAGCATTTGCACCAAGATTTAAAGGTTTGAACCAAAAACACAAAACTGGCAAATATTTGGAACTATTTATGCCAAATTTTCTATATTACTACGACTCAACGTCAAGTGTATGTATTGGTAATGGTTATGTTGGGATANTCAAGTGTATTTATTGGTAATGGTTATGTTGGGTTAATTTTTAATCTAAAATTTGAAAACGGAAAAAAAAAAAAAAAATTTGAGCTATATATTTTGGGCCTTCTTTTATATATTTAGTTTTGTATATGAGTGACAACAATCACAGGCTTAACAAAGATTGTAATGTAGTCTAGTGTAGTCATTAAAAAATAATAATAATAAATAAATTGTCATTGGCAACTAAAAAATTATGCAATTGAGCACAAACTCCTGAAATTAGTCTAAATATGCTAAATGCATAAAGAAATATGAATTAATGGTTCAGTAAAGTTTGATATATAAATGAAGTTAACTGAAAATGAATTCCAATTTCAATTATCTTCGTTGGTTTGTACGTTAATGTAATGCTAGGTACTTCCAAATGAAAGGAAATAAAAAAAAAAGAAAAAAAAATTAATGATAAATTTGATAAGATATTTGTTAGACGGTTCTATAAGTGACCAAGATCTCCAGCTGTAGCAAAGATGAAGGCAAAAGTTGATTTCGTTGAACATCGATTAAGGGCGTAGTTGGTATACCAAATTATAAGTAGTAATCACACTTTATATAAAAAATAATCATATTTATAATTTGGATTAGGAGAAGAAAGATTTCCAGCAACTACCATGTCCCTGCAATGATGGAACTCATTTATCAAAGTTGGCAAACAGATAACTTAGAAAAATAAAAGAAGTGTTAAATATAGTGTGCATAATGTTTTCAAAGCATAACTCGCTAAGTTCTGTGAAGTTTTTAATCATTATGTAACGACCATCACAACCATTATATAACATCAATCATATATACACACTTATTGAAGGATGTTTGGGAGGATAATTATTTATTATCTTTGCATCAATTGGTTCATAGATTATAAAATAACAAATCACATTATAATTAACATTAATCTAAACTTGAATATAGGAATGAAATGGCAAATGAATCCATTACAAGAATTTTAATCTAAAGTTGATGGTGGTGATGTCCAAAAAAAATGAAGTTGAGACAATTAAAGACTACGATAAAATGCTTTAGTATTTTATTTTATTTTTATCATCAGACTTGTTTTTTTTATAATAATAATGAAACAGTGCTAAATTTTATATCTAACTTACTAAAAATACTACACACATAATATATTTACACACATATATCCGTATATCCTAAATTTTATTAAAAAGTTTTACCGGCGTACCCGTATCGTATTGTATTCAAATTAAGAATCCGAATTCGTGCTTCTTAGAACTACACCACGTTGATAATTTCAATCCAGTAAAAAATGATTATTAAACACCAAGAATTAAGGAAAAAACATACATTCTTCTTTGTAGCAGTAAACTTTTTTTTTATTGCTTCTACATTAATGCAAGCACAAAGTCAGATATAAAGCTCATACAAGAGCTTGAAGACTCTTTAACCCTTTTTTCCTTCTTCAGTTCAGTAATTTTGAATTCCAAAAATCTAATATAATATAGTAAAAAAAGATCTTTGGTAGTTTAAAGCATTCCAAACGTATATATTTACCACAATGAAACAGAGTAAATCGGAGACAATAAGCTCATGTTTGAACTTTGTTTTTTCCTCTTTTGTGCTTGTTCCTTCAAGCAACACGAGAAACTAAGGGCGTGCAGAACACATAAAGTTCTTTTACATGAAATATATAGAGATTTTGAATAAAGGAAAAGGCAACACCAAAGAGTGTAACACACCATCATTTAGCTCCAAATCCAATGCCTTCTTTAAACTCTCCTTTGCAGGATGTATATCGTTGAGAGCCATGTATGCCTGATTAAACAAAAAAGCTACAAACATGAGTACTTTGAATTGTCTCATGAAGGCAATCCATAAATTGAACAAAAAGTGACAAACAAAGAAGTAGAATTATAGACGCAAGAACTGTAGTGGAGTAAGAATGTGAGATCATGGAACTAACAAACTTAAGAAAATTAGATGAACAAATTTCAAACATATGCAGATTTTTTAGCCAGATTACTCCACCATGAAGGACTATGACAACCCATCTGTATCTTTTCCATTATCTTAAATATGACCTGGTAAACTCATGAAGATAATTGATAACTATGCTCAGATATTTCCTAAGCATTCTCATAGCTTCTTGAACTCTCAGCTCAACCCATTCTTTGTTAATCTATTTCAAAAGATTAAGCCCCTGTTTGGCCCCCATTTTTTAAAACTCATTTTTAACCACATATTTCATAAGACCCATAATTTTTATCAACTTTCTAACCACATATTTCACCAACTATTACCAAAATCTACTAAAATTCTGATTCGTATCCAAACCATATAAGGGTCAAGAAAATACTGAAATTAGCAACAAACTTCTAGCCCATCAAACATGCTTTACTTTCAGTAATGACTTTGAAGAGAGACAATTAATTTGCATGGCTTTGGTCTTGCCTCAGCCCCCAAATTATCTGCACACATGTTCATTAGAGTTCAAAATGAGACTACTACCTCCACCTACAATAAAGAAAATAAATCGTTTTAGTTCTCAAATTCCCTTGTCATTTTAAATTCACAAACAACTACTTGGAGACTAAGACACAAGTCTTGTCAAGGCACCTAGAGTGGTATCATAATAACTGATGCAAAAGCTTACAATATAGAATTCAATCTTGTACCTAAATATTCATTGACATTTTGCACCCAATAACATGATCAGGCCTAATGGGCACGCGGAATATATGTGACACTTAGAAGCATCAGTTAAATTAAACGCACTAAAGAAATTTTCATATTAAAAATAGCTTCATAAAAGGTCATGTCCTACTTCAATCACTCTTATTCTAGTTAATAGAAATCACCAACCTGCCCTGGCGAAACAAGGCCTTAGCATTGTTTTCACCATCACGAAGAGCGAATTATGTGTCAAAGAGTGCTCGCTTCAAATCTCTCAGTTTCAATTTACAAGCCTAAGAAAGCTAGCACACTAGGTATTAGTAAGCAAAATTTATTGCTAAGATTCTTACGTACATAATCAATTCTTGGAAATTTTAAAAGTTCCTCTAAAAAGGGGTATGCAATCATTGCCCCCTTCTAGACAAGGTGAAATGCCAAAATGCAATTAACAGGATTCATTTGAAATGAAGTACAATATTTATGCTAAAATGTACAACCCATCATTGCCAACAATAACCATATATATATATATATATA